ACGCCCCCTAAGTGTGGTTGCGGTGTGGAATGGCCTGTTCTCTCTTCCGATTGGCTACCAGTATTAGAGGGCCGCAGGAAAATGGGGCGGAGCTACTCAGAAGGAGGTGGAGCTAGTGGCTGCTTCTGGGCTGTCTGGAAGACTGCTGGTGTAGCCGCCACGCTCAGCGACTAGTCCCTTCTGCACTTGAGAGCGAGTTTTCAAATGCCAGCGTTTCAGGCTTTCCTGACATTCCTCTTCATCCCTTGCCAGTCTCTGCCCTGTTCTGTACACCGCATCCCTAGCGTCGTTGTCTCTGGGATGGTCTCTGTTTACCAAACTCTCCGGAAAGGGTTTCTAAAGGATCCGTGCTTTGGAGACTGACAGATAACGCTCCCCCCTATTTTTTTTTTCTAGTTTTGTTTTTCAAGACAAGATTTCTGTGTATAAAAAAAAATTAAAAAAAAAAGATTTCTGTGTATAGCCCTGGCTGACCAGGAACTCACTCTGTAGACCAGACTGGCCTCAAAAACTCAAGAGATCTGACTGCTTCTGCCCCCTACGTGTTGGAATCAAGGGTGTGTGCCATTGCCAACAGCCCCTATTTATTTGCTTTAAGATCGTGGTCTCATACAGTTCAGGCTGGCCTTGAATTCATTTTGTAGCTGAGGACACCCTTGAATCTCCCGATCCTCCTGCCTGTCTCCCAAGTAAGTACTAGGGTTGTTGGGTCCGGGATCGCGCAGCGATGGGGGACAGACCACCAAAGTCTATTAAACCAGAAGCAAAATTTATTCCAGAAAAAGCGAAAAGAAAAAAAAAAAAGATCACCATGGGACACACAAAGCTTATCAGCTATAGCTGTGGCCGCAGCCAGAGATCAGGCTTCTGTAGCTGTGGCAATGGGGGCTGGTTTGGGCCTCTTCTTCTATTAAAATCAAGCACTGGGTGTTGGTCAAAGAGTGTTTACAACCTTGAGGTCAGATGTAAAGTCACTTTACATTTTAAGTTTTACAGCTATAAGAAGTTAGGATGTTAACTCAGGATGTTTGTAAAAGTCTGTGGCCGACATAGCCGCTTTTCACTGTCCCTGAAAGAATGCAAGACAGAGAGTAGAGTCACATAGGCGGACAATTAAAAATTAAGGGAATACAAGCAGAGGGTCCCATAGAGGCAATAGTTAGGAGCTAACCTTTGTCTGCAGGACCTGCCTAGCTGGGAAGATGGAAGGCAGGAAACAATTGTTAAAAGTTCCCTGGGCTGCAGAGATGGGACAGAGGTTAAGAGCACACTAGCTGTTCTTCCTGAGGTCCTGAGTTCAATTCCCAGAAACCACATGGCACCTCCCAGGTACCTATAATGAGATCTTGTGCCCTCTTCTGGCATACAGGCATACAAGCAGGCAGAACATTGTATACATAATAAATAAATCTTTAAAAAAAAAATAGTTGGGGCTGGAGAGATGGCTCAGCGGTTAAGAGCATTGTCTGCTCTTCCAAAGGTCCTGAGTTCAATTCCCAGCAACCACATGGTGGCTCACAACCATCTGTAATGAGGTCTGGTGCCCTCTTCTGGCCTGCAGGCATCACACAGACAGAACATTGTATACATAATAAATAAATATTTAAAAAAAAAAGTTTCCTGTACACAGTGGCTGCCAGGGTGTCTGCTTTCTTTGGGGGGGGGGGGCAAAACAGGGTTTCTCTGTGGTTTTGGAGCCTGTCCTGGAACTAGCTCTTATAGAACAGGTTCACCCCTGCACAGACAGATGGACAAAGCCAGAAGGCACCATCTGAGGAACAGTTCTGGGTGAGAGATCAGCTTTGCTGGATTTGGTGCACACACCTTTAATCCCAGCATTGGGAAGTCAGAGGCAGGAGAATCTCTGTGAATTCAAGTCCCACTTGGTCTACAAAGCTAGTTACAGGGCAGTTAGAGATACATAGTAAGACCCTCCAAAAAATAGGAAAAAAGAAAAGAAGAAGGAAGGACAGAAGGAGGGGTTGGAGAGATGGATCAGTAGCAAAAAGCACTTGGCACTTTGATGGAGGAAGGTCATTGGCTAGTAAAGAAACTGGCTTGGCCCATTTTATTGGTTAGAACATAGGTGGGTGGAGTAAACAGAAGAGAATTCTGGGAGGAAGAGGAAGTGAGGTCAGACTCTGCTCTGCTCCCAGAGAGACCCGACAGCTCTGCTCTCTGGAGCAGAGACACCATGCTCAGCTCTCCCGGGTAGACTCAGCAGCTCTTCTCTGGAGCAGAGACGCCATGCTCCGCTCTCCCGATAGCTCTGCTCTCTGAGACACATGCCATGAAGCTCAGACTCAGGATGGACTTAGGCTAGAATCTTCCCGGTAAGCGCACCGTGGGGTGCTTACACACATTATTAGAAATGGACTAAATTAATATGTGAGAATTAGCCTAGAAGAGGCTAGATAGAAATGGGCCAAGCAGTCTTTAAATGAATACAGTTTGTGTGTTGTTATTTCGGGCATAAGCTAGCCAGGCGGCTGGGATGTTGGGGACCAGCCCCACCGCTCTTATTTCAACAGCACTTTTTCAAACATCATAGATAGGTTTGGTTTCCAGCTCCTTCATCTTTCAGCTCACAATGATCTGGACTCCAGCTCCAGGGAATCAGATACCCAATCTGGCCACCTCAGGAATTGCACACATAATACACAGACATATATGCAGGCAAAACACCTATAAACATAAAAGAATAATAAAAACTAGTAAAAATTGCCAGGCAATGGTGGCGCACGCCTTTAATCCCAGCACTCGGGAGGCAGAGGCAGGCAGATCTCTGTGAGTTTGAGACCAGCCTGGTCTACAGAGCTAGTTCCAGGACAGGAACCAAAGCCACAGAGAAACCCTGTCTCGAAAAACCAAAAACAAACAAACAAACAACAACAACAAAAAAAACTAGTAAAAATTAACGCTTTTTAAAATGACGAAGCTTTGAATTAGGAACAAGAACAACTAGAAACGGATACCAAGCCCCATTTCCCAAGCCACAGGTCTCACCAAACTAGAGACAGAGTTCAAATACAGAGAAAGAGTGATGAAATAGGAGCAGCAGTGGAACAAGGGGACATGGGAACCAGCAGGGACAACGGCTTATCTGTCAATAGGGGTCCATGGCACGGTGACAACAACCAATCGACAAGGTGTTGATGGCACCGCCACCATCCTGCAATTTTGCATATTTTAATCAAGACCCCACCTCTTGCCAGGCCTCTGTGAATTCGAGGCCAGCCTGGTCTGCAGAGTGATAGCCAGGACTACACAGGGGAATCCCTGTGTCAAAAAAAACAAAAGTAAATAAATAGATCAGTCCCCTAAAGAGGTGGATCCGGAATGTTCTCACTGTAGGCAGAAACTCGGCGATGAGGGAGGCGGTGACAAATGAGGCCAATTTCATCATCCCACTGAGTAAACATCCATCCTCCCTCCCGTCCTTCTGTGCCCACAGCACACACTGTCTGCAGCTGGAAGTGGCAACCCTGAGACCTACAGCCATCTCCCACTGTTGAGTAAACCTGAGACCAGCCTGGGCTGCACGAGATCTTGAATGAAAAAAAAACAAAACAAAACAAAAACAAATAAAAGCAAAACATAAACCAATAAAAAAAAGAACAACAACAAAAACCCAGACGGGAGGAGTGTCTCAGCGTGAGAGCAGCTGCTGCTCTTCCATAGGACCAGGGTTTGGTTCTCAGCTTCCATACGAGTCTGCCCAACTGACTCTCATTCCAGCTTCAGGAGGTCTGACACCTTCTTTTGGTCTCCATGGGTGCTCATACACATGTGACATATGTTCCCACATACACAACAACAACAGCAACCGTCTTAGAAGGAGAGTGGGACTGGAGAGATGGCTCAGCAGTTAAGAGCCCTGGCTGTTCTTCAGAGGTCCTGACTTCCCAGCACCACTCATCTCCAGCACCCACTTGGCGGCTCTCCAGGGATCCATCACCTTCTTCTGGCCTCTCTGGGCGATGCACACAGGGTACATAGCCACATGCAGACAAAATAACCACACACATAAAGAAATTGTTTAAATTAACAAACAAAATAGCCAGAGTCGGAGAGGTAGCTCAGCAGGTGGTGGAGTTACCAGAGTGTGGCCTCGAAGATCAAGGAACCTTTGTAAAAGTAAAGTTGTTTTCTGACCTCCACACATGTGCTACAGCTTTCTTGTGTCCCCCTATCACACACACAATACACAAAATTTCAAAGCAAAAAAAACAGGGAAAATGACTCCATTGGTAAAGAACTTACCGCATAGCCTTGAGAACCCAGGTAAAGGAAGCCATGTCAAATCCAGGATCGCAGTTCCTGTGCTTCTATGGCTAGTGAGAAATGAGGCAGAGAATCCTTGTCACGCTGTGGGCCAGACCAACGCCTGAGGCTATCCTCTGCTGTATGTACATGTCTTATGTGTAAATGTACACACAGACACTGATACAAACATACAACCACACACATAAAAAAATTAAACAGGAAACAAAAGCAAATTGGGCAGAAGTGGTGGCGCATGCCTTTAATCAGTGATCTTTGTTCTTGTTTTGTTTTGTTTTTCCAGACAGGTTTTCTCTGTGTAGCCCTGGATGTTCTGGAACTCGCTCTGTAGACCAGGCTGGCCTTGAACTCACCAAGATCTGCCTGCCTCTGCCTCCTGAGGGCTGTGCCACCACTGCCATGCAGGCAGGTGGATCTTTGTCAGTTTCTGTGAGCCGGAGGCAGCCTGATCTACATAAGAAGTTGTAGGCTGGTCGGGGCCTAGAGGGACCCTGTTTCAAACAAATCTCCAGAATTTCAAAAACAAAAGTTTGCACAAAGTATTAGCAATGGTGAGCTTCTGCTTTAGTAAAATGTCCATTAGAGCGAGCGGCCGGCAGGAGGCAGCAGCGCTACCAGCAAAGCCCCGCCCCTGGCCCCGCCCTGATCTGTCCGGCCCCGCCCCGCGCTCGACTGGCCTCCTTCCGCGCGCGCGCAGAGGGCGGGCGCTGGCAGCAGGTGGGCGGGGTGCGGGCAGGGTGCGAGAGGCGGGGCGGGGGGCTGCCGGCAGCGCTGGGGCCAGCGCGGCGGTCCCGCGTACGGGCGCGCCATGGACTTCAACATGAAGAAGCTGGCGTCGGACGCGGGCATCTTCTTCACCCGGGCGGTACAGGTGAGGCCTGGCGCGATGCCGCTCGCAGGTCCCGGATGTGGAGCGCGTCCAAGCACCCTGCAGCAGGATCCCCTTCCCTGCTGCTGCGGCGGTGCGTGCTGGGGACAGTTCGGGCCCCTGCTCCCCTGTCCCCGAGCTGCCCAGGGGAGCTCCCAGCGGGGTCAGCTGCAGCTCCTTGATGGCCCGGGGTTGGGGCCTGGGTTGCTGGGCGCCCAGCAGTGCCGGTTTACACTGACAGGTTTGCCCACTGCCCTGGCTCCTGCACAGTTCGGGAGATGAATGACCACTGGGTGGTTCCTACTTCCCTGTCCTAGCCCAGCGATTCCTGGTTGGGAGGTCCTGGGCTACACAAAAATGTCCCAATCCCTTCTGCGGACCTCAGTCTCCATACCCGTACAATGGACAGCTTGGTGCTACTCAGCCCCTTTGACACGCTTGGATAATCAGGCCGGAAGCCAGGAGTAATTTCCTTTCTGTTCTGCAGGAGGCCTGTTTCCTTTTGCTTCCCAGGCCTGAAGGATGGCGAGAAGGCTAGGATCTGGCTGGGTGCCCTCTTTGGGTTCTGTTCAGGCCGGTAATGCTGATATTGGAACAAGTCCAAAACATATGGGATTAGAAATGAGAAACTTAGGGGAATTGATGTCACAGCGAAGGGCTAGAGTCAGATGTGGATGTAAATCCTTCTCTTGTGACCTTGGGAGCGGGGACTTCACCTCACTGGGCCTCTGTTTCTCAGTCTGAGAGATGGGATGGCTGTAACTGCAGTTGCCACGGTTAAACTGCACCTGTGGAGCGTCCGACCTTGCACGATCACCTCAGCCTTACCGTGCCTTTCTGTAAAGCAGGTGGAAGGCTCGTGTTGGAGGCCCTGTCTGCTTCAAGGGTGGTTGTGGGTATCTGGGACTCCTGTGCCCCAGGGTTGGTCCATCTCTGTACACCAGGAACAGGTTCTGTATGCTGCCCTTGTGGTACTTGTTGACTCTTCTGGGTACAGCCCCTCCTTCCCCTCAGGGGCCCATGTGGCCATGTTTACTAGAAAGCACTGGGTTCCCGTGAGACTTAGTGTCCCAGTGAGGATTGCCATTCTGGTTCTCGGTTCCAAGCTTGGTGGGCAACCCCAGTACCGGAGAGGATGCTAGACCCTCAGAACCCCAGCCTCTGCAGGAGGGGGAAAAGCCTGTCCCAGCGTTGGCATGGCAACCGCACTATCTCACACATCTGGAAAGAACCTGATCTGCTGGGTCCTGCCACCTGACCTGGCCAGGCCCACAGAAAGGGCTGGGGGTAGTGGTGGCTTGGGCTTCCTGGCCTCACTGATGGGGGCAGGCCCACAGGGTCACTCACTCACTCTTGGGCTGGAGCCAAGTGCCCAGGCCCAGGCTGGGGTGGAGGAGGGAGCTGAGCGTGTTATAAATAGAGGCTTTCTGAGCTCCACACACCCACCCTCCTGCTGATGCCGGCTTGCTGGGAACTGCCTTGGACTGGTTCAGGCGTGATCCCCTTCCCCTCCGTTGGAAAGGGACTAGGTAGCAGAGGAGGAAGGTGCCAGCAGTGTGACCTAGAGAGGCAGAGAGGCGTCTGCCATGGGAGTCGTCAGGAAAGACGGAGCTATTCTTAATTACCAGTGTGTACACAGCTCCTATAGGTCAGTGTTACTGTGCAAGGCACCGGGCCGTGCTGAGTAAGCACACGTGCCCTGTGTGGCCCAAGGACAGTGTTGAGGGACTCACCCCACCCCTATCCCAAAGGGAGCAAGGCCTCCCCAGCTTGAAACCTGGGGGCAGGATTTCTTCTACAAGAGTGATTTTTGGGGTGGTGTCCCTCGCCAAGGGCCCCAGACATCAGCCAGAGTCTCTGAAGCAGGTGGAGGTGGCAGAGCGGCCCCATCAGGGCAGTGAGGTGAGGGGAGGGAAGCCTGCCTCGTGCAGCACGTTAGAATAGTATGATAAGTGCCTGTGGGTGGTGTGGGCAGCCGCTCTGCTGAGACTCCTCCCAGTAATCACAGTCCAAGCTCCTACAGGGGCTTTGCCCTCATCCAAACAGGCTGGTAGCAATGGCCAAGGGAGGATGCCTGGGGCTCGCGAAAGCCCAATAAGCATGGGAATCCGTATGTTTGGCAGCATCCCCACGCCCCCAGTGACACCACGGGGAGACTTCCCAAGTGATAACCCAGCTAATACTGCCCTGGGGCTGGTAGGGTATTAGAGGCCTCAGGTTCCATACCCAGTGTTTCTAAAAAGAAAACTGTTCCTTTATGCTGGCCAGATATTCTGTGATATGGGTTTTCGCCATTTTCCAGGGAGAAACTGAGGCCCGGGGAGATGCTGAGCTGGACAGGGCAGCTGAGGAGGAGGCTTTAAGGGAGAAGCCCGAGGCCTGCTGCATAATTGATGGCTGCAGTGAGACCTGGTGGCTCCTTGGCTCAGCCTGATGATTCATCAGAGGCAGTGGCTCCGCAGGGCTCCAGCCCCCTAGACCCTGACTGCAGCACAGCCTTTTGCTTGGCCTCAGCGGCTCTGACATTGCAGGGGAGCCTGAGTGCCCCAGGACGCGGCCTCAGTCCTTATTCCTTATCTTATACCTGGAGCAGATTTCACCTTTTGCTGTTGGTGATGCCCTTGGGCAAACCTGGTCACCTGGCTGGAAAAGGCTTGTGCTTGGGGACATCTGTTCCTGGGCTTTTCTAGATTACCTGGTGAGGACTTGGACCAGTTTCTGAGTATTCCTAGGTAGTCCTCATGACTCCAGCCAGCTCTGACTGGGGACCCATGTGACCTCCCGGGTTCTGGGTACACCCAGCAGCTGGCTCCAATGGGCTGGCAATGTTCTCTGTTTACCACACCCAGAAGCCAAACATTTGGCCAGCCTCCCTCCCTCCCACACTTGGTCCTTAGACATACTGCCCGTCAGCTCCAGCAGCAGTAGCGTGGGCACTTCACGCTGGGCACGGGCTCGGTTGCCAGCCCTCTCGTGTCTAACTCACATCTTCCCATTTTACCCTGTGTGGTCTGTGAGAAACATTCTTACTATCTGTTTCCAGGGGACTCTGAGGCCCAGAGAGGCAAAGCCCTTTCCCCAGTGTCGCATAGCTCATCAGGAGTAGAACAGATATGGATAGGGTCCCTTTCATTCCTGAACCTGAATTCTTGCTGGAGTCCCATGGAGGCTCCTCTGGGCCTCATCTGTTCCCTAACAACTTGCTACCAAGTTCTGTCCCTCAGCCCTGGTGGCCACCTCCTCAGGGCTCATCTCACTAGGAGCATACATGCTTCTGTGGAGAGAGGGACTGGGGAACTATGGGGCTTCTAGGAGCCATGGTTCTGACTCACCCAACCCCCTCATCCTAGAAAGAAGCAACCAAGCCCCAGGGTGGGGTGCAATAGGCCACCCTCCAAAGGCTTGACCCTGGGACCTCCTCTGCCGCTTCCTTCCCAGTTCACAGAGGAGAAATTCGGCCAGGCGGAGAAGACCGAGCTTGATGCTCACTTTGAAAACCTCCTGGCTCGGGCAGACAGCACCAAGAACTGGACAGAGCGGATCCTGAGGCAGACTGAGGTGCTGCTGCAACCCAACCCCAGTGAGTGGATGTGGGGCAGGAGGGCACCCGGGCCAACGCAGGGCTGTGGGTGCGGGGCTCCAAAACGCACAGGAGCCGAAGCCTGAACTGAAACACATGTGGGGAGGGACTCGCAAACTACAGATGTCAGCTTAGGCTCGCAGCCAGCCACGGGGCAAGGGCCTGGCCAAAGTCATACAGCGTGCTGACTGCATGAGCAGAAGGGGGCAGTTTGCATGTCACCTGTAAACCTGCAGTGTCTCTGAAGTGTCCACAGAGGCCCAGGACCCAGGCCAGGGCACGGTGCAAGCGTGTCACACATTGTAAACGCTATTTAAGTTGGGGAGACATGGGAGGTGTTGACTCAGTGCTGTGGGACAGTGGTGTCACGTCTCCGAGCCTTGTTCTCTCGGGTCTCACAGGGTGGGTGTGGGTATGAGATGTGTCTGCAAGCCTTCAGTATGGATGCTGTCTGGGGGTGGTCAGGGTTTGCTCTCTCACGGTGGCTTAGCCCCGAGAGCCCTGTGGTTTTGGCTGTTGTCTCCCTACAGGTGCCCGAGTGGAAGAGTTCCTGTATGAGAAGCTGGACAGAAAGGTGCCCTCAAGGGTCACCAATGGGGAGCTGCTGGCTCAGTACATGGCAGAAGCAGCCAGCGAGTTGGGGCCCGACACCCCCTATGGTGAGGAGACCACAGAGCTAGGGTGAGGGGCATTGTCTCTAGCTCCCTAAGCTCCTTCTTCCTGCCTCCCTTCTCCCTCTTTTTTTTAAATTTTATTTCTGACTAAGTTCTCTATTTAAGGTAGGCCTTAAAATCAAATGAGGCTTTGTCCCCTGAATGCTGGGATTGGAGGTGTAGCCGTCAGGTCAGCTCCCTCCTGTTTAAAAATTACAGAGATAATCTGAGTTATAAGATGAGAATAAAGGAACAGACCCTCCCTTAGCCAGTTTAGGGGTGTGTGTTTTTGTGCGTGCGCACATGTGTAGTATGTGTATAGTATGTGGAGTGTGTATGTGGTGTGGTGTGTCTGTAGAGTGTGTATATGTGTGTGTGGTGTATCTGTGAAGTGTGTATGTATGGGTATATGTGTGTGTGATATGAGTATGTATGTATGTGTGTACGTGGCATGTGTGGGTTGGGTGTGTGTGGTGTGGTATGTGTATAATATGTGGAGTGTGTGTGGTGTGGTGTGTCTGTAGAGTTTGTATATGAGTGTGTCTGGTATAAGTATATATGTGTGATGAATATGTAAATGCAGTGTGGTATGTGTATTGTGTGTGTGTGGTGTATCTGTGAAGTGTGTATGTATGGGTATATGTGTGTGTGGTATGAGTATGTATGTGTGTACGTGGTATGTGTATAGTATGTGGAGTGTATATATGAGTGTGTGGTGTGAGGAATGTGTGTATGTGGTGTGTGTGTGGTGTATCTGTGAAGTGTGTGTTATGGGTATATGTGTGTATGTGGTGTGTATGTGTTGTTTCTGTGGTGCTGGAGTTGGAACCTGGGGTCCTGTGACTGGTTGGCAAGCACTCTTCCACTGATCCATATCCCAGCCCTAGGTCATGTGTGTGCAGTGCACATACGTGGGGGGGGGGGGCAAAGGTCCAACCTTAGGCATTTTTCACCATCTTTTATGAGACAAGGTGCACTAGGAGCTTGCTCACTGGTTAGGCTAGGCCAATGTCCAGCAAGCCTCTGAGTTCACCATGTCTCTACTTCCTGAACACTGAGATTCCAGTCATGTGTCACCACATGTGTGTTCTGGGTACCGAGCTCAGGTCATGTTTGTGAACAGTGCACTTGGCTGACTGAGTAAACCTAACTTTTACAAAAGATTTATTTGCCAGGCTGTGGTGGCTCACACCTTTAATCCCAGCACTCAGGAGGCAGAGGCAGGCGGATCTCTGTGAGTTCGAGACCAGCCTGGTCTACAAGAGTTAGTTCCAGGACAGGCTCCAAAGCTACAGAGAAACTAAAATACATACATACATACATACATACATACATACATACATACATACATACAAGAAAAGATTTATTTATTGTAATGTGTGTGTGTTTTACATACGTGCATTGAGCTGCCTGTGTGCCAGAAGAAGGCACCAGATCCCTGGAGCTGGAGTTACAGGTGGTGTTTTGTTTTGTTTTTTTTTTTTTTTTTTCCGAGACAGGGTTTCACTGTGGTTTTGGAGCCTGTCCTGGAACTAGCTCTTGTAGACCAGGCTGGTCTCGAACTCACAGAGATCCGCTTGCCTCTGCCTCCCCGAGTGCTGGTATTAAAGGCGTGCGCCACCACCGCCCTGCTCTACAGGTGGTGTGAACTTCCTGACATTGTGCTGGGAATTGCACACTGGGGAACCAGTGGTCCTCCAGAAGAGCATCCAGTGATCTTAACTGCTGAACCATTTCTCCAGCTCGTACTTAGCCATTGTCTTGCACACATCCTTATTCTCTCTTCTTCCCTTCTGAATTTTATTCAAATATACCTTATGTGCCATAAAATATACCTGGTTTCTATTATGTACACCATTGAATTTAGAGTTGAAAAAGTATCTCCACAGATCAATTTAAACAAAAAATCCCTCCACCTCGGACCCAAAAGTCTCCCCTTTATATAGCCAGTCCTGGATCCAGCTCAGGCTACCAATAACGTGTTTTGTGGTCTGTCTTCCATTGCTCCTGCTCCATATTTAACCTGCTGGGAAACTGCTGGGCTGGGGATCTAGCTCAGTTAGTTGATGAGGTCTGTGGCTCGATCTCCAGCACCACATAAGCCTGGTATGGTGGCAAAGAGAAAGAAATTGCCAAAGTGTTTTCCCCAAGTGGCTTTTTAATACCCTGCTAGCAGGGAGCTTGAGCTTGAGCTGTCTGGATTTTAAAGGTCCTGGCTTTCTCATGGCCTAGAGCAGTGGTTCCCAGCCCTCCTAGCTCCTCATGCTGTGGTGACCCCAACCATAACATTATATTTGTCGCTACTTCATAACTAATTTTGCTAGTGTTGTGAATCAGAACACAATTTGTGTTTCCCTATAGTCTTAGGCAGCCTCTGTGAAAAGGGTCATTGGGGCAGGTCATGTGTTGCTCGGCCCAGCACTGTTCAGGAAGGCTGGCTCTTGATGGTGTCATTGTGTGTTCTTGCTGCCTGTCTCTCCCTGCTTATTGAGAAAGAGCATGGAATTTTCCAGCTGTTTTTTCACTGTCTCTCTCTATGGTTTGCCAGTGTTTGGTGTGTGTATTTTAGAGCCACGTTAGGTGCATATGTTTATCTTTCTGATGGATTGGGGTGTGTGTGTGTGTGTGTGTGTGTGTGTGTGTGTGTGTGTGTGTGTGAGTCCGTGCGCGTGTGTAGGCCAGAAGTCAGCTTTGGACGTTGTCCTCCCCTGCCCTCTCGCTGAACCTATTGTGGTAGCCGGTGCTGATGCACCTGCCCCGCTGCCATCTGTGGCAAAGGTTATAGACGCAGTGCCGCGGCATGACTTTTATGTGAGTGCTGGGATCTGAATTCAGGTCCCATGCTTGTTCAGCAGTCCCCGAGTGACGCCCCAGCCCTGGGCTGACTCTGTTGTCTCTGCTCGATGCCACTGCAGTCATCCGGATGCTCTGCCTGGACACAGAGGGTCTATGTTGTTATCTGCCTGGCCAGCAGAGCACCACTCCATCCCAGAAGCTAAAATTAAGATGCTGTTCATTGTCTCTAGTGAGACTTCTTTCCTGAAAGCTCATTGTCTGGTGACTGTACGGCTCCTTAGCGCCGACACCTGCACTGGCATAGTAGCTGCCTGTGCCCTTTTCTTCTCAACCTGTTTTTATATCATAAAATCGCAAGCATAGGTCTAATCAATGACATTCAGTATAGACAATAGTCATTGCCTTTTCATTAGAGTGCTTAATATATATACATTGAAGGTAATTATTGATGTGTTAGATTATTTTTCATTTAGGTCTTGGGTAATTTTTCTTGTCTTATATGGCTCCTTTTATATTATAGGTATTTTCTATTTTACATAAATATATATTTGGTCAGTACTGAGGATAACCCTGAGCCTGTGTGTCTCAGCAAGTAATTTACCATCAAGCTACATCCCAGATCCCTATCTCCCCTTTTTTTTTTTGAAACCATGTCTTACTAATTTGCTCAGAGTGGCCTCTGCTTCTGGACCTTCCAGTCCCAGTGTCCCAGCAGACGAGAGTGCCCACCGTTCCTAGCTTACTCTTTCAAGCTAGCTCCCAAGGAGCTATCGTGGGGTCAGTACATGTCAGCCAATATTGGTCAGTGGTAGTTTTTCAAATCTCCAGCCACTGAAACTTTATTGGTAAGTGTGTATGTGAGTTTGGACACTCGCCTCAAGGTCGAGCAGTTTATAGGTCTAGCCAGCTTTTGCCTTGTAGGTACACGGCTTCTGTTCAGCCCAGGGTGGGACATGCTGGTGCACTCTTCAGCCTGTCTCAGACGTGCCACAGGTGTGCTTGCTGGGACTTCTCTAGATCACGCTAGATTCTGGCAGGGGTACCCGCTCTTCCCAGCAGGCCTCCGGCTGCAGGCTGGCTGCTTCTGGCTTTGGCCAGTGGATGCTGCTGTCGGGAGTGTCCCCTAGGATCCTCTTTCTTCTCCACTCACCCAGCAGCTGCAGTGGGGGTGGCCCTGTCTCCCGAGTGGAGAGCCGCCAGCCAGGAGGAGACGGCACGTCTCCAGGATAGTACCCCCATTGTTCGTACTAGGGTCCAGTGGCTGTCTTCCAGTGTTTCACCATTGGTTTTTGTGTCTTTGATCCATTTCCAGACTTTGGAAGTTGACGTCCTTGACTTCTGGGGGGGATTTGTCAAACTCCTTTTTCTCTTTCTGGAACTCCCCAATCTTGTTTGCTCTTGAGACACTAGGCCTCATCCGCTGTCTGCTAGGCCCCAGGAGCCCTGTCCATCTTTTTAGGGCCATAGTGCCTTCCTTCACTTGCCTGGCAGACCTCCCGGGGGGAGGAGGACTTGAGGCTTGCCTTCCCTCACCCTCCAACTCTGTCTTCCTAGGGAAGACCCTAATCAAGGTGTCAGAAGCTGAAAAGCGCCTGGGAGCAGCAGAACGGGATTTCATTCACACTGCCTCCCTCAGCTTCCTCACACCCTTGCGCAACTTTCTGGAAGGGGACTGGAAAACGATTTCGGTGAGGAGACTGGGACCCCTCCTCTGAGCTCTGTGCCCAGGGAACCGAATCTCTCCCGAGGTGGCTCCTGTTGCCCAGGGCTCTTTGGCCAGGTCTGGGCTGCTCACTCTCCTATCACCCACCCTGCAGAAGGAGAGGCGACTCCTGCAGAACCGGCGCCTTGACCTGGATGCCTGCAAAGCACGGCTGAAGAAGGCCAAGGCGGCAGAAGCCAAGGCCACGGTAAGTGCCCCTGCCTCTCCCCATGCCCCCAAGCTCTACTGGGAGTCCAGAGATGGGGCACGCAAGGGACCTGTGTTTGGCATGCTCTTCCTCCCTGGCTGGGGCTAGACTGCTCACTGGTCAGGTCATGGTTTCTGTCCCCACCCCAGGGAATCCTGGTGGCTCCGGGGCAGACAATTATGAGATAGGCAGGCTCACGGTGCCGTTCACTGGGCAGGGCATCCTGCAAGTCTCTTAGGTGTTGGATGGAATTCTTGCATGCCTCTCCTGCCTCTGTGGATGCTCAGCCTGGCCCTGTCTGGGCATGGCTCCCCTGTTAACTCTGCACCTGCTGCCTGAACGTGAGCACGTGTCTTATGCATAGGCTGCCCTAGGCTGGAGGCTGTGGACAGCACTAGAGCCGGCCATCCCAACCCCATGCAGGGACTGTCCGAGGAGCTCCCTCACCCCACAGCCCACTGGGGCCTGCTCTGCCAGGTCAGGATAGGCTGAGCTGATTCAACAGGGCTAGGTCAAGAGGGCTGAGCATTGGCTCGGCATGTGGGCTGCTCAGGGGTGTAAGGGTGTTAACAGCCACCTCAGGTTCTGAGAAACTCCTAGGCCCAGGGCTTGTTAGGAATCTCCTCTTTGTTTCTCCAATGCTCAGCTGGTAGATCTCCACTTCCCATAATTCTCCTGCATCATGTTCTCCCTACAGTACGATGTACAGTGTGACCGCTGGGGCCTACACTGCCTCCAGCAAGAGCCACAGCAAGGTCCTAAGTCAACCAAGTGTGCAGGGAATGGCCTGTGGCCATTGGGATTACTTTGGCAATCACCTGGGCAGAACAGCCCCACTTCTTGTTACTTCTGTCTTTTCCTAGTCCACCACCGCAGAATGATTGCTTCTCCCCTTGGGGCCCAGAGAGCCTTGGGCCTGTGAGTCAAGTGAGGCAGGAGCAGTGTCCCTAGGGGCTCAAGCTCAGCAGCTCTCTCTTGGGCACACGTGCTGCCCAGGACTCCTGAGGGTGGCTTGTGAGTGGCCTTCCAGTCCTTCTCTGCTCACCTCGCGCCGGGCTGGCTATGCCTGCTTTCGCTTGCTGTGGACTTAACTAACTCTCTGTTTTTGTTCCTTTCCGTTCTGCTTTGGGTAACTTGGCTCAGTGTGAGGGAGATGTGAGTATACCTGTCCCATGTGCTGTGCTGCTTCTGGTCCACCCATCCTGTCCAAAGGCCCAGGTGTTGTGGCCAGCCCAGGCCATGCCCTTAGGCTTTTGCAATCGGCTGGCCTCCATGCAGTCTCTGCTTTGTGGGGATGCAGGCATCAAGGCCTATGAGGCAGCTTCTTGCAAATGTCAAATCCTGTCACTCTGTCCATCCATGCATCCATCCATCTACTCTTGTTGGGAGGGGTCTGACCTCAAGGGAAGAGGCAGAGACAGTGTGGTGAAATTCTGAGCTGGAGAAAGCTGTGCTGGGGAGGGCTGTGGATCCGGGGGGCTTCCTTGTGAGCCTGAGACCCAAAAGAAGGGCAGGCCCAGCCTGTGGTTCACTTGGGCCCTCAGCACATCTGTCCACTGGGTCTTCGTGTTGGACCCATTGAGCCCCTAAGCCCGTCTCCTTTCCAGATGGTTGGAGTGGACACAGAGGGTCTATGTTGTTATCTGTGTCCTCCTGTCTGTCCCTGGGGCCAGGGTTTCTTGTGTCTCCTTATATAGGAGACTCCGGGGCTACCTCCTGGCCTCAACACTGGTCCTGGCCCAGGGTGACCCCCCCTCCCCCGTGAACTCTGTTCCCCGCCAGACGGTGCCTGACTTTCAGGAGACTAGACCTCGTAATTACATTCTCTCGGCCAGCGCCTCTGCGGTAAGCACCCTTCCCATCATGCCCTGCCCCACCCTGGCCTCCTCTGCCCACAGTTCCACAAGAAGCCAGCAGGTGAGGCAAAGGGCCCTGCTCATGTGGCAGGTTGCCCTGAGAGGCTAAGAACAACTCACAACAGGGAAGTTACAACTCCATCTGCCCCGTCTCTGGCCCAGCAGGCAGGCTGAGCTGGTTTCTCCCTATGCAAGGTGGGATCCTATGCAGTCTTGTCCAGCTGCAGGGAACCACTCCATGTCCTTAGGACAGCACACTATACCACCTCTAGGGAACCCAAGGGACTTTGCATTCTATGCTCTCTCCTACAAGGGAACACTGCCCCAACCTCCTCATTGCTCCAGGTGGACACTGGGGTTAGGGAGGAGGCTGCCTGGGCTGACTTCCTGTCTCAGACTACTAGACAACTGTTTGCCTTAGTTCCACTGTAGCTCACAAGCTAGATGGCTAGAAAGCAGGGGGAAGGCCAGCTGGAGGAGCAGGATGGAGGCAAGATGGAGGGAGGGAGACAGGCGAGGCTGCTACAGTAGCCTGGTTAGTTAGCACCATGGTACACAGTGACTTGTGTGGGCTAGGCCAGCCACGTTCCTCCACTCCTGTAGCAAGCTCTCTTCCTGTCCCCTGGGTGAAAGCGTCTTGTCCCAGCCGTCTGGCCCTCTGCTCGTGTTCTGAGCATGTTCTGTGTGATCTGTGCTCTTCATCATTCCATGGCTGGCAACTGCCGTTGAAATGTCAACTCTTGGTCATGCTCAGGTCTGTTAGATGGCCTCCAACACGGCACATGACGACGATGCTCCCACTGTGGGCTGTGCACTCTGTGGGCCCAGTTCAACGGTCCATCCATGTGCCAGGGTGTTATCCTAGGCCAGATTTCCATAAGTGGCCATAAACTGGGTCGCCTAAGTCACGATGGGGGGAGGGGGTGTCTTTCTTCCCTAGACTCTGGATGACACATCCCGCTCCCCTCCCTGGGCCGAGTTGAAGGAGAAACATCCCGGAGGGTGGAGGCTGCCCTGTTTTTTTCTTTTGCCACTGGCCCCCAGTGTGACTCTGGCCCGAGGCTGCCTTTCTCTGCCGGAGGACAGAAAGGTTTAGTGACTGGCCCAGGGTCACTTGTCCTGTCCTGCCTCCGCGCAGGAGTCAGGGTGGGGTGGGGACACTTGGTCTCTAAGACCCACTTAGTTGGGGGCGGCTGTAGGAAAAGTACAAGCAAGACTTCCCAGCTGGCTGGCCCTGCATGCAGCATGCTAGATGGGATGTGGTGTCATTTCCCTGCCCTTAGAGCAAACCTTGTTCCAGCCTCAGCTCCTGGTTGGGTTGGGATGGGTTGTGCAGGGTCCTTGGGAGCTGGGGCAGGCACAGGCTCTGGTATCTGGCTGCCCCTCCCCCTCCACTCATGATGCCCACCTTCCCTTCCCTGCCTACTGGTGCTGTTGTGGTCTCCACAGCTTTGGAACGATGAAGTAGACAAGGTGAGTTGGGTCTGGGGGGCTTTGGTTTTAAAGCTTGTTTTTGGAGACAAGGTTTCTCTGTAGCTTTGGAGCCTGTCCTAGAACTAGCTCTTATAGACCAGGCTGGACTTGAACTCAGAGATCTGCCTGCCTCTGCCTCCTGAATGCTGGGATTAAAGGCGTGTGCAGCACTGTCTGGCAGGGCCTGGGGGACTTTGGGAGGCAAAGTCTAGAAGGTTAAGGGTAGAGGTCCAGACACAGCTACTGCTGTAGAGAGGGTGTCTGAAGCTCAGGACTCTGTCTTACACTCACTGGGGTACTGGTTGGCGATACTAAATCCCACTCTACAGCACATGAGGTCCTATCTCCTGGATAGATCCTCCTGTTTGGTGGCGGAGGCCTGTCACTAAAGTTACCCACAGATCCCAAGTTGGCTCTGGCTTCTCTGGAAGTCAGCTCTAGGTGTAATGCCAGGCCATCTATGTTCCCAGGAGGCCTCAGGGCACAGGGAAGGCTGGTGGAAGGGATACAGAATGGGGGCTGCTCTCATTACTGCTTGCCCCACCTAGGCTGAGCAAGAGCTTCGAGTGGCCCAGACAGAGTTTGACCGGCAGGCAGAAGTGACTCGTCTCTTACTGGAGGGGATCAGCAGCACCCACGTGAGTCCTGCATTCATGTCCTCCTGAATCTTACAAGCACGGGCCACAGAGCCAGCCTGTAGACTGGGTGTCCCATCCTCATTCTGATGCCTAGAGTATGATCAGGCAGCAGAAAGGATGGGGATGGCCCAGAGGCTAGAGGAAGCCCGACCTCTTTCTTCCAGGTAAACCACCTTCGCTGCCTCCATGAATTCGTCAAGTCTCAGACAACCTACTATGCACAATGCTACCGCCACATGCTGGATCTGCAGAAACAACTAGGCAGGTGTGGCTGGACTCAGGTCTCTGAGGCCCCCTATCTCCTAGACCCAGTGAGTGGCCCAACGCTTCTGGCCAAGGGCCTTCTCTTCAGAGCTCAGAAAACCCCACGACACATGAGATTGGACTGTTGGCTCTGCCTAGAACCCTACCTGGGTACTTCTTATGGTGAGCCTCAGGGGGCTACCATCAGTAACCAGAGTCCCTGGGACAGGGGCTCTCAGCAGTTTCTAGTGTTTGGGCTGTGGAGGTGAGTAGGGGACAAGCAGGTGGGATGGTCTCAGCTTCGTTTTTTTTTTTTTCTTTCTTTGTGCTGCCAGCTCCCAGGGCACCATGTAAGTTACTGGGGGTAGGGCTTCCTTGTGTATAAAATGGGCTGTCTCTTGTGGAGTATGTGGAACCATAAGGCTAGCACTGCCTGCTGAGACACCCTCATCTTCTAGATTTCCAGGCACCTTTGTGGGCACTACAGAACCCGCCTCCCCACCCCTGAGCAGCACCTCACCTACCACTACTGCAGCCACCATGCCTGTGGTACCCACGGGTACTGGCTTGGCCCCTCCAGAAGAGGCAGCACTCTGTCTAGAGGAGGTGGCTCCCCCGGCCAGTGGGACACGCAAGGCCCGGGTGCTCTACGACTATGAGGCAGCTGACAGCAGCGAGCTGGCCCTGCTGGCTGATGAGGTGGGTCTGGGGTTCTGAAGGGGCAGGCAAGAGCTGGACAGGAACTACTAGACTGGAGACCAGGAACATTGGGGAAGAGCTGTGGGAGTCAGTGACTATGGTCTTAGGCAGCCCTTAACTGCTATGACTCAGTAGAGCGCTACAGGGACACCCCTCAAGGGATGTAGCAGCTTTACGCCTGCTTAGTCTTGGGATGTCCTACCCGTTTCCAGGGCACAAGTTCCCTCTCTGCTCCCCACAGCTCATCACTGTCTACAGCCTGCCTGGCATGGACCCTGACTGGCTCATTGGTGAGAGAGGCAACAAGAAGGGCAAGGTCCCTGTCACCTACTTGGAACTTCTCAGCTAAGCAGCCCCCTTCCAGGTCCTGTCTGCTGGTGACACAGCTGTTTAGGATAGGGGACCTAACCCTATTCTGGCCCTGTCATTGAGCTAGGAAGGACCCCACATGACAGAATGGCTCCAGGTCCCTTTGCTAGCCCTGCTTCTGACCTGCATCCCTGCATACTCAAGGCTTCCCAGCTCCATGATATGCTGGGATGCTCTTGGCATGAAAAGAACATCTGCCTTCTAGCTGTGGAAGGTTGAGGGGGACAGCGGCAAACAGGCAGGGCTAACAGTCAGGGATTGGACAGTCTGGCAGGAGACCAGCAGGCTCAGCCAGAGCAGCAGCGCGGAGTGCTGCCCTCCCCGCCTTCACTCACAGCTCTGGCTGAGTACAGTGGCTGCAGCCCTCACTCAGTTTCTAACTGGCATTCTTACTTCTGCCTGTCTGCTTGTTCTCTGGCAAATAAATCCTTTGTGTGCAAACTGCCTGGACTTTTGTCAGGGTCTCAGTGTGCATGAGCCGTCCTGAAAGCGTAATGGTTAGACTTTGTTGGTCTCCCCTTCTCTGGGTAGGGATTGTGTGGAGCCATGGCACAAGCTTCTTCCCAGAGTGCAGATCAGAGGAAAGGTCATATTGCGCAACAATTCCCAGAGCCGCATATCTGAAGCTGCACAATATTTTGTGCTTAAGGAAAACTTGCCTAAATTTGGACCCACTGAACTGCAGTGGCTTTGCTGTCAGGAGGAAAGCTTTAGTAGCCAATAGCTGTGGGCTCGGTCTGAAGCTATGATGGATAAGACATCAGTAGTCACCTACCTCTTCAAGGTACTATAGCTTGCAAGTGGGCAAGTGGCAGGCAGGCTCTTAAGCCTACATCAGTCTGATTCTGGGAACTTCCAATGTGGCCGTATTTTATTTTACATGGTCCCAGTGCGCATGCTGGGGCTCTGCATGGGGAAGAGCTATAAACTGAGGTCCCTAAGTGCTAAGGAAGTCCAGAACCTAGCAATCTACCCAGGACTAAATCAATAGGTACAAGTAAGTCAGCCATCGGCAGGAGTCTTCCATCTCTAGGCTACCCACTCGTGTCTGGGGCCTTTGACAGCTGCCGCATGACTCAGGCTCTGAAGGCCCAGTCTATAAACAGTACTTTAATATTTGTATAAATAGACCACAGTATTACCAAAAACAAAACAACAAAAAAATAAACCCTGCAAGAATAGATCATGGAAAATTCTCACTACACACAGGCCTCTCCTGTGCTGCCAGCACCCAGGGCCTCCCTGGCTGGTGACATGCCATGGGAATGCTTGAAGGAAAAGGGCCATCTTGTGGATATTGTAGAGTCTGAGCACCCAGACCCTTGGCTCCCTGCCCATGCTGTTGACCTCTTGATCTATTACAAAAATAATGTCAGCGGGTGGGCGGGAAGAGGAGGAAGGGGGCTGCTTGCTCAGTGGCCCGCTCTGTGGTGGCAGCACCCTCTGCCCAGGCTGCAGTGTAGGTTGGCAAGGAGCAGCAAGCAGATGGCGCTCCACTCCCTATCTCTGCACATGTCGGACAAAGGCTTGCACAAGCTGGATCAGAGGCTCCTGAGACTCTGGGCTGGCTTTGGAGAGAGAGGTGGCCTTGCCCTGCGGCGAGGGCAGGACTCCAGCAGCAGGGGAGCTGGGGGTTCCCCTTCTGAAGTATCTTGAGAGGCTGGAAAGCAGCGTGCTCTACAAGAAAAGCAGCAGTTTAATGAGGTCCAGGACCACTGTTCCTGACCCCAAAGGACAGGCAGCCCCCAAATAGCTTTCCCTGCTGACCAGCCCAACAACCATACCAGCTCTGAGCTCAGCTCCTGTTTCATCCGCTGTTTATCCCGCGGGTGCACAGCCGGATCCCTGAGGTAGCGTACTGCTTGGGAGATGAGCAGATAGAAGCAGTTCTCCATGGTGAACATCAGGAGGGACCTGGGAAGGCAGGTGTGAGCATACCTCACAAACACAGCTGAACCACAGCCCAGAGACTAGCAGCCCATAATTGTCCCAGGCCCTTAAGACTCAGGTCTCACTTTAATGTTCGGGTTCCTTCTGCTTGTGTGCTGAGTCCCACAGCCTGAGTAAGGGATTCTTTTTTCTTGTCCAGCTAAAAGAACAGAAGCAAGCAATAAAAAAAAAAAAAAAAATCAAACCAACCTTAACAATGGCCAGTTAAGGTCTTGCATACCAGTTGCCCTGGTACCTCCAAGGGTATTCATGGGAACTCCTAGCATGCCACCTTAGGAGAGGCCTAGGCTCCAGGGGCTGGATATGACCCATATTACTCAGAAGTGACAGACCAACTGGAAAGTTATGCGGGGAGGGGGAAGGGCCCTACCTCTCCAAGCATGTTGAGGGCCACGTTCACTGTGGCCAAGAGGGTTCCAAAGGAGGGGGCCACTTCAGAGTCAAAAGTGGGAGTGGTGAAACTCAGGGCAAATAGGAAGTTGTATTCCGCGAGATCCAGGGACTGAAAGACAGAAAACAGCACTCTGGAATTTGCAGGGAGCTCTCCAGAGTACAGCGCAGTGTACTGCAGAATCCAGGTTCAAGGCTAGTTGTTGAGAACCTAGTGTCATGTATGAGGTGGTAGTTAGTACCTGGTCCAGCAGAATCTGGCAGACATCTGGAGTGAAGTGGCGCAGGGCTGCCAGGGTCCTGCTGAGAATCTTGAGAAGGCCATACTGGACTGTGTGTAAGGCTCGCTGCTCTGAGGCCTCAGTGTCAGCAACAGGCTGCTTGGAGGAGCATCCAGATGGGGTAGCAACTGTGGTGGTGGCTGTGGTAGTGGCTGGCCTCTGCACTCGAGGAGTGACAGCTGAGGGGAGGCCATCCCCATTTTTGTTCTGAGGAAGAGTCAAGAAATGGAGCCTAAGTTACGGGAGATCAAAGGTGGTCCTGCCATCAGTGATGGGGCAGAGAGGGGCACTGCCTGCAGTGATGAGCTAGGGGCTTTGGTTACCTGTAGGTAGTGCTGCAGCATCTTGCGGCTGTGTAGGAGGGAGGTACAGGCCTGGCACAAATAACCCAGGTTCACCTGAGACATAGGAGGGAGGGACAGGAAAAACTCATGGAGCAACCCCAAACAGATTACTCTCCAGGACACCAGCAGGCCTCCCCTTGCACTGACTGATACTCTAACTTAGCCACCAGGAGGGCTCAGGCCTGGCTTGTTTCAGCTGCATTTCTGGCACATTACATGGTTCTCAATACATCAAAGAGATGGGGATTAGCGTTTCCACACTGCAGAAGAACAGAGGTGATGTGACCTAGTTAAGGTCATATAGACAGAAGCCCATGGACTCCTCCAGCTTCCAGGCCTTCTGAGGGTTTTGAACCTCAGTCTCCCTCACAGAGCTCAAGTTCTCAACCTATTCAGTCTCACTTCACTGTAAAGGGAAGAACTGGCCTATGGAAGCAGATTGCGCCAATCCTGTGTCCCCAAGCAAGAAAACCACACTCAGAATCAGCCCACCATTTCCCCAGACCTTTCCAAGAAGTAGTGTTCTAGGCCCACCTGGACATCACGCATAAGCTGAGGCAGGTGGAAGTGCCACTCCTTCCTGAAATGGGACAGTTGTAGGATGAAGCCCACAGTGTGATCTGCTTCCTCTAGGCAGGCTAGACTCTGTACCGTCCTCACTGCATTGAGACACTATGAGGGGAGGACAGCAGAGAATGCTCAGGGACCCAGCACACCACGTCTACCCACCTATGGAGATCAGGTCTTGGGCCCACATATGCTGAGGTGGCTGGCATTACAATGAAGGCTTCCTATTAGGTGACTCAGTCAGATTTCTTCTAGTATCTCAAAGATGAGGGCATTGATACCCTAAGTCCTACAGTCATATGTGCCAAATGGCTCTGGGTATCCCCTTCCGTGAGGTAGACAGCCCTTACCTGCAATGTCCGCTCCTGATGGACACCCACAAAGTCTAGAGCCTCAGTCAGGAAATTGTAGCGTAGAGTCTTAAGCAACCTCTCCATCAAGGATATGGACAGGCGGTAGACCCCTGGCCAGGATGGGGCATCCAGGGACTTTCGAGAGGTGCTGGGTGTCTGTAACAAATGGCACACATGCTCAGGATTGAAGCCACAGGAACCCACTGAGAGCAGCAGAGTCTGTGTGGTCCAGCTACTGGAAAGAAAAAAATCTCTTGGAGTGGACAGTTATCACTAGCATAAGGGGCAATGCTACCAGATTCAGCAAGAGTAGAGCATTCCAAACCTGTACCTGCCACTAATCAGCAATATCAGCTTGCCCATGTCCCCTGCCCCACTCTGGCTCTCAACATGCTCCCTCTAAATTTAGGGAGGCTGGGCTAGAGGAAGAAGATTTAGCAGACCGAACAATTCAGACAAGAGGTGCTGTGAAGATGACTCTAGACCAGGACACGACTGCTGCCAGCCAGAGTTAACTGAAGTCCCTAAAGGGTGCGGGGAGAACGGATGGGATGGATGGATGACACGGGCAATCACATACACGACTGCAGTCACATGCTGACTTCTGAAGGGATGACAACTGTCCTACTCTCCTGGCATTGGTGACACTTTTTTGTTTGGTGTTTGGGACTAGACTGGAGCCAGGTTCATGCTAAGCACACACTTCAGTACTTCTGGTAGCTGCATTCCTGAAATCAGGCATGGTGCCAGGGGCAGGAGGCTTTGTTCTACCAGAGAGCTGGGATAATATACGGAACAAGCAGCAAGATGGGGGCATCTGTAACCTGAGAGCTACAAGAGGCAAGATCCTAGCACTCACCTGTCCTGTGCCATTGCTGCTAAGCTGGTATACACTCAAGAGAGGCAAACAGATGCTTTGGGTGATGCCAGCTCCAGCCACTGCTGTCGCGCCCTGAAGGAGAAACCCATAATTAAGATGGAACCTTAAAAGACCTGCCAACGGGGCAAAAGACCTGACTGGCTTCGGGGAGCATGGGAATCACTCAGCACAAGCAGGATGTCTTTTCCACCCTAAGCAGCCTCCTACCTGCTGGGTACGAGCCAGGGTGAGGAGCAGGTGCAACGCAGCCTCCGTAAAATGCAGGTTCTGCTTCATGCGGAGGCTCACCTCCAGGGTGGTGAGGAGTGTGGGCAGAATGGGGAGCCTTCGGGTCACCTGTAGCCACGAGTCCCCATCCTCATCCACTTCACAAAGCTCCTTAGCCAGATGCAGTCCCAGGACACATACCTGCTGGTAGCCAAGGACAGAGAAGGAAAGGTGGAAAAGAGCAGTTGAGAGATAGAAGAGGAAGAACGCCAGTCCTGGGCCTAGCTACCCACGCTGCTCTCAGGAGTGTGGCTACTGTCACTCTTGCTTTTGCCCTGCTAGTCTCCGTGCTCGCTTCTCCAGGAAGGGCAGGTCAAGCAGCTCTGCCACTGGGTCTGACCGCAGAATTCACCTTCATCTCCAGTCTTAGGTTTTATCCAAACACAGGTGTTTTACACACTTAGTTTTAATATCGTTATTACTTGAGAATTTCCTATAGTGTATACTGACTATATTTACCCCTTCAACTTCTCTTAGATCCACCTACACCTCTCTACCACCCACCCATCTTTCTTTTTCTTCTTTTTGTTGTTGTTGTTTTCGAGACAAGGTTTTGCTGTAGCTTTGGAGCCTGTCCTGGAACTACCTCTTGTAGACCAAGCTAGCCTTGAACTCACAGAGATCTGCTTGCCTCTGCCTCCTGAGTGCTGGGATTAAAGGTGTGCGCCACCACCTCCTGGCCCATCTTTCTTTCTTAGTCACCAGGCATGGTGGTACATGTCTTGGGAAGGCAGAGGCAGTCAAATCTCTGTTTGAGGCCAATCTGGTCTACATAAGTGAGTCTCTGGCCAAGCCAGGGCTACATAGTGGGACCCTGTCTAAAACAAAACGAAAACCACCAATAAGAAACATATTGAGTCCAATTATGCTGTTCAGATATACATCTCAGCAGCCATCAGCTGCCAATAGTACCACAGCTATGGGTGGAACTTTGAACACTAAATAGACAGGACCAGAGCCGGGCGGTGGCGCATGCCTTTAATCCCAGCACTTGGGAGGCAGAGGCAGGCGGACCTCTGTGAGTTCAAGACCAGCCTGGTCTACAAGAGCTAGTGCCAGGACAGGATCCAAAAAAAACCACAGAGAAACCCTGTCTCGACAAAAAAAAAAAAAAAAGACAGGACCAGAAAAGAACCTTTCTGTGACACATGTCAAAACACTAAGTTACAGAACACAAAAGGAATGTCTTTTTGTAGTATACAATTTGACCCACATAACCATGAAATACCTTTCCTTACTTTAAAAAGGTATCAACATTCTGAGATCCAGAAGTGCTATGATCTACACTCAGAACATCTTATTTTAAAAAGGAGTAGGGTAGGGCTGGAGAGACAGTTGAGAGGTAAGAGCACTTGTTGCTCTTGCAGACGACATAGCTTTGGTTTCCAGCAACCATGTTGTGTTCAAAACCATCTTTACCTCCAGTTCCAGGGGATCCACTAGCCCCTTCTGACTGCTGGGGACATCAGGGATGCATGTAGGTACTACACAAACATACACGCAGACTAAACACTCGTGTTTATAAAACAAATATTTTTAAAATTTTTAATGAAAAAAGAAAAACAACGGGGTTGGAGAGATGGCTTAGTATTGAGGAGCATTTGCTGCCCAGTCCTGAGGACTGGAATGTGGATGCTGTAGACAGGTGGATCAGTAGGGCTTACTGGCTTCTAGCTGAGGTGAGAAAATATGAGCCCCAGGTCCCTGCTTCAAAGGAGTAAACAGTAAGTTTGAGGCTAGTTTGGGCATAGCAGGACCCTACTTAAAAAAAAAATGCTGGTAGTAACTAAATAACCTAATAGGTTGTGAGCTTACAGTTTAAAAATCACTGTTCAGGACAGGAACTTTTCAAAAATCTAGAGAAACCCTGTCTCGAAAAATCAAAAAAAAAAAAAAAAAATCACTGTTCTAGCTGGGCGGTGGTGGAGGAAGCCTTTAGTCCTAGCACTTGGGAGGCAGAGGCAGGTGGATCTCTGTGAGTTTAAAGCCAGCCTGGTCTACAAATCTAATTCCAGGACAGTCAAAGCTGTTACACAGAAAAACCCTGTCTTGAAACACACTACCTCAAGAAAGGAAACATTGTATATGTTGTATTGTGTACACACAATCAATCAATCCATAGACAGGCAGGCAGGCAGGCAGGCAGGCAGGCAGGCAGGCAGGCAGGCAGGCAGACAGACAGACAGACAGACAGAAGATGCTGCCCTGAGGCTGGTCACACACACTTCTCATGGTCTGATCTTCCTAATGCTGCCCGTGACTAGTTGTGGCTGAAACGGTAGGGAGGATGGCGTTTCTCCATGGGCTTCCCAAAGCCCTGACTTCACAGGGCTCTAGGACTCCACAGGCTTCACCTTCCCATTCTCCCTAGTGAGTGACAGCTGCCAGTATGGGCTGTCTGTGACAGAACACCTGCTGTAATCTGCCCTCACCCCATCACGCTGGTCCTTATGCCGAGGCCGAGGGCAGTCATCCGTTTCCATGCTGTCCTTGTCCTCTGCAGCGCTGCCTGATGCCAGGCTGTGGCGGGTCTGATCAAAGAGTGCAATCACCTCTTCTTGGAGAGTCTCGCAGACATTCAGCACCAGCTGGGAGTACTGCGGGATATCACTTACTGCAGAACAGATGGGAAGGGGTGCTGTCACAAGGCAGGCCACTCTCACGGCACACCAAGGTTGTCTTCCTAGGCCGGGGCTGGAAAGGCAGTTAAGTACTAAGAGGGAGGGTGTCACATTAGGGTAAAAATTCTAAGACTGACACCTTGAGACTCATAGGAAGCGTGTGTGGCACTATGTTAGGAACTATTAGCTAGGCTGCCCGCTCACCTCGCATCTCCTTCATCTGTAATACCGTAATGAAGGCAGAGAACACCTTGGCCTTGGTCTTCTCCATGAGCTGCTGGTCTGCCTGCAGCACCCCTTCCAGGACCTCTGTCAAGGGCCCAAGGATTTTATCCACAGCACCCAGCTCTCTGAAAGGACACAGTGGAAACACTGCACCAGAAGCCACAGGCAGTCTGCCCGACTCCGCTCCAAGAAATGAAGGCAGGCAGGAAGGGTGGGCAGGCCCTGCTGAGGCAGTCGGAGGCCCAGGCCACCTCTCTAGTCCTAACACTCACCGCTTCCACTGCCGCAGGAGGACAAGCAGCAGTGTACACATCATGGAGCCGAGCCGGAGGCAGTTCACCGATGTTGCAACGAGGAGCTGACAGGAGGAAGAGCAGCAGTCAGGCACATCTCTTGGCTTCCACTCAGTGTTTCCCTGGCCTTGTGCCCTCCTCACCTAGCAGCTCACAGGTACAATCAGGTGCAAGGAACTGGGGTACCTCTTTACCACTGCAGCCTCACCTCCTAGGCCCCGAGCACCATCCTAACCTCTATGCAACAACCAGATCGTGAGGTCCACGTGTGACCTCAGGGAAAGGAGACCTCCTAGACATACTTACTAATGCCTTGGTCCCATCAAGCACGTCAAGAAAAAGCTGGCGCCGCACTGCCACATCAGTCAAGTGCATGATGTCGGCCTGCAAGTGCACAGGAAAAGGATTATGTCCGAGACATTTCTCAGACTTTAAGAGCCAAGGGCCCAATGAGGCAATGAGCAATTGGAAAGTCATTGTGTCCCTGATTAAAATGAAGCTTCAATCCCTATTTTTTGGTTTATTCTTGGATCTGGTCAGAATCAAGCCCAGATTTGCCTTTTCCTCAAAACCACATCCTTTCTCTGCTCATCTGTTTTCAAAGGCTTCCCAGGGGTCAGGAAATTCAAGCCACACCAGCCACACAACCTTCAACCCCACCTATGCTCACTCTAGCCCCAGTCCTCCCTATAACCTCTCTTTCCAGTTTTTTGAGACTGGTTTCACCATGTTGTTATGCAGGCTGCTCCTAACTCATGATGCTGACTTAGCCTGGCCACCAGCATGTGCCAACCACACCTGGCTCTTCCATCCTTCCTGACCATAGCAAGTTCTTTCTACTTCTGGACTTGGCACCTGCAATTCCATCTGCCTAGACAGCTTTCTCCACAGGCTCGCCACCTGAGGCTTCTTCACATACTTAAGGTAGCTGGGGCATCACCTAAGAGAGACCACTCTGACCACGCTTATCTCATGTGTTAAGCACCACAGCACCTCAACCATTACAGCAAAGTAACAATCTCAAGTTACCTTTTTTCAGCTGTAAATTTTATAAATTTTATTAACTTACCTCTCTTAAGGTTACTCTCCATGAGAGCAGACTTATACACTGCAGTAGCCCTGGTGCCTATAGGTGTAGAACAAATATTCTAACAGCCGTGGATGGGTAGATGGGTGGATGTGTGGATGGGAGGGAGGAAGGAATGAGAGAGAAAGGGGAGGAAGAAAGGGAAGGAGGGAGGGAGGGAGGGAGGGAGGGAGGGAGGGAGGGAGGGAGGGAGGGAGGAAGGAAGGAAGGAAGGAAGGAAGGAAGGAAGGAAGGAAGGAAGGAAGGAAGGGAGGGAGGAAGGGAGGGAGGAAGGGACCAAGGCCCCCCAGGTCCATTTCCCAGAAAGCAGAGGACAGCAGAGGCACAACTTAAAGACTGCTGTCTGACTGGATTTTAAAAGGCAGCGACACGGAAGCAGAGATGCAGGCAGCCAAGCCCTGCAGCAGGCCTGAAGACTTGGAGTCTATGGTTATCACATCATAGCAAGAGTATGCACAGACCTATTCTGTGCTTAAAACTCCAGCCACACAGGTAGTCTATATTAGAAAACAAGGCAGAGAGATGTGCACAGTTTGGAAACAAGGAGCAGCAGCCTAGGTCAGGCTGTAAATCAGTAAAGAGATTGCCCAGATGCCTTGGAAAGACAAGTTCAACACCATGTGCTATGGCATAGTGTGACAGTATCAAACTATGAAAATGCCAAGAATGGTGCAAACCCTTCCCAAACACCAGCACTCTCTCTCTCTCTCTCAATGGTGAGACGATCAGTGAGTAAAGACACCTGCTGCACAAGCCTGAGGCCCTGAGTTCAGTCCCCAGAACTCATATAAAGGTGGACCTGACTGCACAGATTCGTGCACACACTAATGATAAATAAAGTTTTAAACTCACTATACAGTGAAGAGACAGCGGCCTCCATCCTTCCCTAGAACCACTGGAAACACACAGCTGGAAACACAGAAGAGTCACAGATGCCGTGTCCAGAAGGCACAGCACCAGAGGCAACTATACGTCCCATGAGAGACACACCCCGGGCTGAGAAGCCTTCAGGATGTCTAATGGATTTGAAACTTCTCTGTCCTGTCCCCAAAATGTCCTATTAAAACTCAGCCCCAAGCACCTGCCCACCCTCATCTCTTGGCATAAAATCTGTTCCATTTTAGTTCTCAGGGACAAACCCAGTTTCCTTTTATCCCAAGGAGCTGCATGTGCTTGGATATCACTGCCTTCTTAAAACAAAAGCAAGATGCCCAAGAGGTGCTTACATGACTGGTGGCAATGATGAGAAGCATCCTCCAGGCAGAGACCAGCATCTGATACTCCAGCAAGGACGTGCAGCTGCTGCCCTCTGTTTCAGCCATGTAAACTGCCAAAGACTTGACATACCCTGACCAGTAGGCAAAGCGTTTCTCGCTGGAAAACTTCTTGAGTGTATCTTTTAATGACTGGTCTAATGAACCCCTATGGTGTCAAGAAAACACAAACCTTAGTGAGAATTCAAAAGTAGATGGAAATGAGATGAAAATAGGCCCTTGTTGAGGCAGAGGAAACCAGCTCATACAGCAACCAGCTCTAGAATCAGCTCCAACATAATGAGTATGGCTGAGGTTCTTTCAGGAATGCCTCCTCCTCCATCAAATTCCAGGTACACAGAATTGTCTTAACACTAACTCTGATAACCATAAATGCCATCAGTGGACTGGCCAGGGAAAATTCACTGGTCCTCCATAAAAATGGGTCAAACCATCTTTTTGTCTGTCCTGCTTAGCAACCTAACTCAATGATAGGCCTCCGCCATCTCCCACTGCATCTCTGACTACAAGTCCATGGGAGAGTGCTGGAGACACTGCTCATTGGTAGGACATTTGCTTAGCATGCAAGAAGCCCGAGTTTGACTTCTAGCACTACACAAACACGAACAACAACAAAACCACCTCACAGGGGAAGGGACTCACTTAACTACGTAGTATATCTCCAAACATATTATCTTCATGATTAGGGCACAGGTCTCCAGAATGCTGGGCTGTGGAGGGGAGAGAGCAAAACACACTAATTACATGGAAAAAACACATCTCCATCCCACCCCTGCTGAGAGCAAAGACCTCACACTTAGAAAACAAGTAAACACACCTTTATGGAATACAAACTGGCACCCACCACTGGGCAGGGCACTATGTGCACAATGTGGAGATATCAGAGCCTTCCACCTGAGCAGGCATGCCACTCTGCTTCCCAGAGGACAGGAAGCAGGCACTGCTCTGCAGAAGGAGCGTCTTGTGAAACATTCTGTATGTTCAAGGCATGATCTTCTTCTCCACATTACAGACTAACCCTTCCCCCCTGGAACTCCCAGGCATTGCCCTACCCTCCACCATGGCTCACCTCAGATGTCTCTGAGGGAGGAGAAAGAGTTCCAAACAGCGGGCTGGTTAAATTCTCCCAAAACTTGGGTCTAGAACAAAAATACTTGTTAAAATGACACTTTTTCTTCCCCATAGTCCCTTCTCTCTAGTCCCCTTGCTAATATTTTTTCAAGTTTTAATGTCCAAACCCTAAAATGTTTTTCATAAATTAACTGTTCTTATATGAATGTAAAAAGTCCATTAATAAGCTGAGCAGCACTCTGGAGGCAGAGGCAGGGGAATCTCTGTGAGTTCGAGGCCAGCCTGGTCTACAGAGTGAGTTCCAAGACAGCCAAAGATATACAGAGAATCCCTGTCTCGAACAGTCCGGACCCAGGTTCAATTCCCATCGCCCACATGGCAGCTCACGACTCTGTAACTCCAGTTCTGGGGGATCCAACACCCTCACTCACATAGAGTATATATAGGCAAAACCAGTGCACATTAAATAATAATAATAATAATTAAAAAAAAAAAACCCTCAAACTAACAAAACAAAAACCCCAGCTAGATGAGGTGCTAGAAGCCTTTAGTCTCTGCACTTGGGAAGAGTGCAGAGGGTTACAGGACTGCTCTAAGTTTGAGGTCAGCCAGGTATATAAAGCAAGCTTCTGGTAAGTCAGAGCTAAACAATAAGAGCCCGTCCCAAAAAAAGCAAACAAGAAAAAAGAAAGAAAAAAAAAAAAGTCAGAGTCTTGGGTGTTTAACTGTATGCTAACTGGTGAACTCCTAAAAACCTACTTCCATTTTACAGATATGAAGAAGCACACTCATGAATCAGCTACCACTCAGAAGAGACTTACTTGGTTCTGAGGACAAGCATAGCACTGTCCCTACGATCTTGCCACAGGGCATGAAGGAAGGCAATGGCTGCACGATGCAAGAGGGGTGGGCACCAGTATCGATCTTGTTGCTGGGAATCAATCAGCTCCAGCACCACATGGAGACAGCTCCACACACCAAGGCTGAATTCCTGTAAGAGGAACAGGCAGGCATTCAAGTTCCCTAACTGCACTTCCAAGAAATATGCTCAGCTCCATCCAAGGAACAGGCTCACCTTGGAGCCATTGCTGCCATCCTTCACTTCCAGATTCAGAAAGAGCTCGATGAGACCTGGCTGTGTCTCCACAGCGACTGTAAGGAACTCCAGAATCATGACTTTGATGCGCATGTCCTCAATCTTGCTCTGAAGGCGGGTCAGGAAGGCATCACGAATGGCAGCTGCATCACTGCCCAGGCAGGCATACACTGACATTGGGGCCACCTGGAGACCAGAACACACAGGTTTAGGGCTCTGTGCCTCGAAAAACTCCAGGAGTTCTGCAGAAAGGCAATGAGAAATTCCAGGAAATTGAAAATAAGAAAACAACCCAAACTTAAATTTCTGGAGTGAAACCAATGTACAGAAGAAACAAAGAAGTAAGGGCTGGGGAGATGGGTCAGTTAAGTGCTTGCTGCACAAGCATGAAAACATGAGTTCAGATCCTTAGCCTCCATGTAAAGATTGAGGCCGAGGAGCCTTCTATCTCTAGTACTGGGAAGCAGAAAGCAGAGGACCTCTGGGTTTGCTGATGAGCAAGTGTAACCGACAAACAAGCTCCAGATTCAGTGAGACACTCTCAAAATGTAAGATGGACAGTAATGGAGGAAGACACCCAATGTTGACCTCTGGCCCATATAAACATGCACACACGCATGTGCACACATGGCTGTTAAACATTTCTCACAGCTGAATTAAGTAAAACATGAAGTATCTGTCTACCTATTAGACTGATATAAAAGAATTGATGATGCTATCATGGTAAGTATATAAAATTTGGTGTTAAGACTACAAAGTGGGCAGGGCAGAGTGGCTCATGCCTTTAATCCCAGCACTCGGGAGGCAGAGGCAGGCGAATTTCTTTGAGTTCCACAACAGCCAAGGCACACAGAAAAACCCTCTCTCAAAAAACTAAAAGAATACAAAGTGCAGGGGCTGGAGAGACAGTTCAGTGGGTATAAATACTTGGCTCTTAGCTGGGCATTGTGTCGTACACCTCTCATCTCAGACTCAAGAGGCAGAGGCAGGCGGAGCTCTGTGAGTTTCAGATCAGCCTGGACTACATAGTTAGGACTCAGTTTCCAAAACCAACCCACCAAACAAGAACACCTTTTCTTGCAGAGAACCCAGGTTCAGTTCTCAGAACTCACAGAGTAGCTTACATTCATCTGTAACTCTAGTTCCAGGGATCCCATGCCCTCTCCTAAACTCTTTGGGCACCAGGCACAAAGGTGGTGTGCATATATACATATACACATGCAAACAAAACACTCATACACATAAAAATAAATAAAAAGAAAAATCGGGGCTGGAGAGGTGACTCAGTGTTGAGAGCAAGCACCGCTCTAACAAAGGAACTGAGTTTGATTCCTAGCACCAACATCAGGCAGCTCACAACCACTGGTAACTCCAGTTCTGGTGATCCATTATTTCTAGCCTCAGTGGGCACCTGCACTCAAGTGCACATACCCAAACACATACATACATACACATAATTGAAATAATAAAATTAAATTACATTTAAAAAGGACAAAAGGAGACTATTACAAGCTTTTCAGTCAAGAGTATGTAAACAACAAAGAGCACATCAGAGTACAGGAAATACCTAAATCTTTTACTTTTTTAATATTTCTATTTTTTTCCACTCCAGACAGGGTTTCTCTGTGTAGCTTTGCAGCCTGTCTTGGAACTTGCTCTGCAGACCAGGCTGGCCTCGAACTCACAGAGACCTGTCTATCTCTGTTCCTGAGTGCTGAGTGTGCACCACCACCGCCCGGCAGTATTTCTATTTTTTATGTGTATGGGTATATTGGCTGCATTTCTGTCTGTGCACCACCATATGTGTGCCTGGTGCTCATGTAAGCTAGAAGAGGGAGTCAGGTGCTGCACGGTCCTCACTGCACTTAACTGTTCCCAATGAGGATAGAGACATGGA